GGAAACCTTCAACAGGTTTACACTCTTCTCCTTCCAGAGAAAGGAACTGGAGCCAGAAACTTGCTTTCCAGTTTTGTCCAGTTTGTTTTCAGTCTCCTCTTTTGACAAGTGTTACCTGACTTTTTTTTAATGGGACTGCAACCAAGAAGTAGGGATACAAAAGAGAAAAAGAATGGAAGACAAGTAAATTACTCTTCATCTTTTGTTTTTGTGGGGTTTTCTTCTTCTTAAAGAAACAGTTTAAAATGATTGCTCCGATATAATGGGCCTCCAGGATTTAAAATGTCAATAGGGCTAAAAACAAACAAACAAAACCCGAAACCCCAAACAAACAAACTAACCAAACAAAAAAGAAAATAAAAAGGTTTTCCATGCTTTAAAGGGCAGCACATCTGTATGACAGCATCACAAGCCTCCAGGTGTCAGGGACACATCAACAGATGTACTCAGCTTACAGATGAACATCTTTTTCCTTGACAGTTCAGCCTACAGACTCAGACTTGCATCTGACAGTCAAACTGAATTCTTCTCCTCGCAGGCATCAGGAGCAGTAATAAAGATTTGGCAACAAATAGCCGCCCCCGGGAACATTTATATGACCATGTTATCTCTTGCTTAGCTGCTCAAAGCCAACTGCAATTCGACTCCAACTGCAATTTGCTAAAATATTCTGTTGGTGACATGCACAAGGAAATAGAATCTGTCTCCAAGGTTGTTTAGCTGAATTGGTTCTGCATAAATACCAGATGTGAGCTCAAGCAGCAGAATTGATCTTTTTTTTCCTAATGGAAAAAAGCCCTACATTTTAGGAATTGTTTCAAACATGATAAACTACTGCAATTCATTTCAGGATGTTTCAACTTTATTTCTTTAAAATATAGGTATACTTTTGGTAAAAATATGTCTGCCTCAGACTAGGATTGTGCAATTCATTATTTAATTTATGATCTGTAACTCCAGTCTGCAGGAGGACTTGAAACACTATATAGGCGGTGCAGTGGCAGATCCAGGAGCAAGGATTTGAGAGCCGAGCTGTCATGAGAGAAGCATGCTCTCCATCTTTCAAGCACCTTGAGAGGCAGCATGACCTGCTCCTGCCACGTACCTATCCAAATATTTAACCTCTGTCTTGTGAAAGAAAAACGTTACCTAAACCACCAACTTTGAATGAATGCCAACCCCTAACCTAGTGAATTATTTAATTCTCAAAAATACCTTACAGTATGTGGGATGGACAGCCAAAGTATCTGTGCCCCTTCTCATAACTTTTCACTACTAGAGATTATTACCATTCAAGGAAGAATTATCTTGTTCAAATTCTTTGCTGATCATTTAGCATTGCTTAAAACCCCTCCTCTGCAAAACAAAGAAAATATATGCAGTTAAAAAGGCAAGGATGCTTACTGAGTCTGCCCACTGCCCTGATAATTCATTCTCTCCACCATAGGGCATCCAGGCTTGGTTCCTGTATGCGGTGGGTGGTGTTGGGATAAAATAGCCTGTGAAGCCAGGTCGGTTTGCTGCTGGTATGGCAAACACTGCTGGTACAGTATTTCCTATTAAGAAAGAGAATAGATAATTAATATCTGACATTTTCAGTTATAAATTAGAAGATAATGCTTATGAAGTAACCGGCCTCAGTATTATTTTTTTTATTGGTGAGAATGAGATCACTATTGGTTGGATGTAAGGCTCCCACCATCTGACAAGAACATCTATATAATGTTGGGAAATACTGGAGAAAGCAAGATTTCCAGTTGTGTCTATAATCATGCACAGTCTTTAGATAAAGATGTGAGGACCTAGACCTTAGGACTTGATCCTTGTAACAACTGTTCTTCATCAAAACTTTGACTCATTAGAAAAAAAGGCTTTCTATCCTCTTACATTTGCTTCCATATATTAAATTTTCAGCTGTTATTACCATGAGTTTCAGAGTAGTGCACTTTTCAACACCAGGTTATGGAGCATTCAGTTTACACAATAAAACTGTCTTAAAATCTCTAGGCGCAAAACCTACCAAAAAAATGGGTGAGTGATACATTTAAAAGGCTGTAATCACAATAACCCCATCATAAAACTTCAATGCTTCCATAAAAAACACCAAGGCTCAACCTGCTCAGTTCCTTTTCCAGCAACAGCCTATGACTGCAATAAATTATGCAGCTATGACTTAAGTATTTCCAAGGAAACTTGTAGACATCAAATCAGTTTTATCACATCTTAATCAAGATGTATGCATAGGGATGTCCAGGAAAGCCTCTACTAAATTTCCACTGTCAAATTCCAAGTTGAATGGGAGAAACCAGCCTTCCTGGTATGAGGTTTAGCCAAATTTCTGGATGTGGCTACATCTGGTCTTTCAGGTAGGTTTTATAACTGGGGCTCACAGAGATGCAGAGAACAATGTGGTTCTTGCTGCAATTACTCAGATGGTCCACAGGATATAACTAGGCTGTCTGAAGACCAGCATCTTCTAGCGTGATCCCACTATTCCCTTGAGAGAAGTCATCATAACTCCATGTATTTGCCAAGTGTACAATAAAATACAAACAACTTGTTTGTCCAGTAAGTCTTCCTTCCCCTAGTGCCTATTTACACATGAAGGCAGACACCAGCAGTGTACCACTGCTACAATAATGTCACAAAATCCTCATTCCTAAATCCTGGGTGGGAAAGCTCTGTATCATCTTTATCAGGTACTGAACAAAGCCCTCAGAGAAGCAGTCACCATGGAATTGCTATGAAGCAGTGGTATCTACGAAGTACGCCTGCATGGCAGGTAGTCACAAGGTATCTCACAGGACCTCTATCCGATTCCTCCAGCCCCTTGGTTTGGAAGGAGAAGGGCTAAGAGAAGACGTATGGATAATCTCTGTTCTTCCCAGGTCACAGACAGCACAAGGTTTGCTATTTTAAATGAGTTAGGAAGGCTGGAAATAAATATTCTTCAGATATGTAGTACTGCTCCTGAAGATGATACATGACTTCTACACCAAAATTTTAATTTAACCACACCAAAATGAGCCACTACTCAAAATGAACACTCAATTAGCAGACGTAATACTTTATTGCAGTTCTTACCGCAACATCTCTATCTTAGAGCTGATGTTGATGAGGGGCTGCACGAGAGCAACATTAGACCACTTCATGCCAAATCATCACCTGCAGCAATTTATTCATGTATTGAAGCAATAAAAAGTTGTTTTCCTATCAGAACATTAGAAATCCTTGTATTACACTTGCAGGTTTTTCACAACTCTCCTTGTCTTTCCCTGTATTACAGCCTTTTGTAGCATCTATCATATAGGAAAGTTTCATCCAACTACTCCCAGAATTATTCTGGCAAACTCCACAATGTACATGAAGGTCATTTTGTCCCTTCTGAAATGCAGCCACTCTTCAGTGGTAACACAACATACCTGTTTTTAACACACAGCAAAAAATCTGCACATCACTGGAAATGATAAAAAGAGTATATTACACAGAACACATTACTGCACACATGAAGAAAGGTCTCTAGGTAGTGTGGCCTATTTTAGAGCTTGAAATGCTTTAAAATGAAAGGCTGAGTATCTACTCTGTTCAGATTTACATGTACCATTTGCAGAAGGTATGACAAGAAGCGAGAGTAGAATGAATCCTTCAAACCTACTATATTTAATAAATTGACAACAGATTTGCATACCCACAGGATTATGCTCAGTTGAAGATGTTGAATACAGTGCAGATAACTCTCTATTATTTCTGAGAAAGCTAAGAAAGAAATTTTTTCTGGCAGAGAAACAGAACAATAATATCTAATAAACCTACTAATTTCAAAATTTTTGAACTGACAGTGTAAATTCTTTTTAATCTTGTAAGCTCTTTTCTACATCTCTTCAAGAAAACCTATTTTGCAATAAGAAGCTATTTCAAATATTTTCCTGGCTAAATGTCATCCAGATACCATCAAAACAGTTTATCTGCTTAATCTCATGATTAAATCAATTAATTCATAAACAAAATTAATATCAAAAGGACCAGGAACTCATTAGGCCTTTTAAACCAGGACTTTTAGATGCAAAACGTTTTAAGTTCTGCACTTGAGCAGGAACTACCTTCTCCAAAATAGGAGACAAAGTAACAGATAACCTTTGACTATGTAAAAGCACTGCTGTCTTGTGTTTTGAAGGGAAGGGGGCATGTATCTTCAATTTACCTCACACTCAGCAGCTCACTGTTGTGACAAGGCTAGGGGTTAAGTTTCTCAAGGGGAAATAGAGAGTGATCAAATTCATTCCACGGTCAGGTTGAAAAACCTCAGTCTCACACACACTATTCATGTCCACTTGCTTCTCCTCCCTTTCCTTACAAACCAAGCAGAGCTGAATGCCATTAAACCTCGTTTTGCAGTACTTCTTAGAGCTCCATTGTACATACTCTGCTTTCAAGAACTTGGCCTGATACTCTGACTGATAAAATTATGGAAGCATCCAACTCATTTCTCCATGCCTCTCAGAACCCCGTTGCTGTACATGCTGCAACACAACATACAAGTTGTGCAGCAGTCCCAATACTGCAACTTCTGCTTTTGCCAGCCAACATCCTCTGTACCAGCCTTAAAAATTCCACTGGAATTTGTGGTACAGATTAACTGTTTTACTGAGCTTCAGTAATCCAGGGTCCTTATCAGTAAGCCAGCAGAATGCCATACTTTAACAAAGACCATCTGGTACATTACTGCTGAATCTTACCTTCAGAAATGACCACTTCCTGGTGCCCCTACAGGATAAGTAGTATTTTAAAATGCAGATGATGCTGCACTTAGAAAGGAGCAATCCTTTGTAGGCCTTCTTCAGATGCACCAGAAAAAACACCTAATACAATCTTTCTCCAAATAATAATCTGTATTTGTGGTATCAAACACATTCATTTATACGCAAAATAAACTGTGAGGTTCTCAAAGCTGCAAGTTGGGTCTGCACTATTATTCTTACCTGAGTGAAAAGCTGATTGATCAAGTGGACCAACAGACATTGGAGCTCTTGAACCAGGTGCGAAAGATGCCTGATCATGATGCTGAGCCTGATCTGCCCCACTGGACTCAGGTATTCTCACTTTGCTGCCAATATCTGATGTAGACCTGTGCATTAAGGAAGAAAAAAAAATAGAAACTTGGCATTCTGACTGACAGATGAGATTCACATGCATGCCTATCAGTTACAGTATGACAAGTCAGCTAGGAACAAGCTATCTGAATTTGCTCTGGCATGACAGAAGTTTGGAGAAAAACTGGAGAACAGCAAGTCTGGAGAAGTCTGAGAACAACTTCTTTAGCTTGGTCTCTACTTTGCCATTACCATTGCACAGAGCCTTTGCTTGTTCCTTCAAACAAAAGCCTGTGACATGCAACACAAAAAAACAGAGCTTTATCATAGTTCATCAACACAAGACTGTAGACAGTACCACATTACTACAGTAAATATGACATGGTATCATATAGTAGGAAGCTACTGTGGTAAGAAACGTTAATTGCACTTGGGAATTACTAACATATTTTGAAATGGTGTGTCCCCATTGCTTTAGAGTAAAATGTAATGGATGGACAAGAATATGTCAACAGACAGTGTCCGTATTCTGAATATTTGGATGTAGTTACGGTATCATTAGCAGCCACTCAGAAAAGTTCCCTTTGGCCTCAGTGTGCCACAGCACCTCTCAGCAGACCTGCAGTGCCTCGAATTGCAGTTGGCACCAGGCAGCAACTAACAGCACAGCACTGAAGGCTAAATAAGTTCATCCACCACAGAAATGTAAAAATTCCTTGAAATGCATTTTATAGAGTGCCCTACTGTGAGGAAGATGCAAAATGAGCTAAGGCAATCAGGCGGTTGCACGTATTTGGCTTTGGAAACATAGGTATGAAATATCTGAAAGCTAGGCAGAAATCACCAGACCTGGGGAACTGAGAAACATCTTACAATTCATCCATATCCTGTTGCAAGCCCGTACAATAGAGAAAAGCAGGGAGAATGACAGTGCAAATTATCTACCACACATCCGCAATACAATACGTCATTATGCGAGTTGAGGCAAAGCATGTTTTAAAATAAATCAGAGCCTGGATTTCCTAATTTTATTGAAATTGATTAGCTAGTAGAAGAGAAAATTCATTGTTATTCCTTTTCTCTTCATGTTAAAATGGAATAAAAACAACATGCTTGTAATTGCATGAATGTGTCTTTATAAGTGCCTTTTAAGTGGCTTGTAGCTGTCCCTTCAGGGTTTGCCCCAGTTCTTATTACAACTGGTTTTTAGAGATCATACCTAAAATAAAAGAACAGATAAATACCTCCTGAGAGAGGCAACAGCCACAGGACCTGTTCTGGGAGGGACAGGAGGAGGAGGAGAACCCATCACCATCTCAGGAAGCTGAGAGAATCTGTAAGCCTGTAAAGGAGACAAATATTTTCTGAAACAGCAGTAGATCTTAATCAAATAATTAAAAAAAAAAACCCAAAACACAGAAAGTCAGAAATTAAATATTTGCTTCCCGTGCCAGCCAACAGGAAGTAACTTTTTGGTGCCATCAATAGTAATTGCATTTTATTTGAGAATTTACAGTGCTTGGGTGATTTTAGGATGTGAGAGAAAACATGAGGAAATTAGTTCAGAGCCAAGATGAAGTCTAATTAAAATAAAAATTATGAAACACTGTCTCTGACATTTGTAACCTTGCTGGCAAAGCAGATCTGTTACAACTATGTGAGACTCAACAGCTGCTTTGGACTCACAGGAAAAAGATCTCGATATTTTCACTTTCTCCAGAAACAAAGTATTTTAAAGATTCAGAAAGCATCCTCAGAGCAGCATCTACTGAAGTGACGCTGCCTGTGAGCAATGCATATTTCAACCTCTTCCTTTCAGCCTTGAAGAGATGAAAAGAAAATTCTTCACAAAAACCACCAAGCTCTGTAACTTTCTAAAGCAATAACAAAGGTATCAAACGGTTTTGAAAAAGCGGAACGATTCAGAGGAACACAAAACCAACTCGCTAAGTCACAAAATTAAGCATTGTGCCCATAGTAATTCTGGATTTCATCACTAATACATGCGAAGGATGAGTAATGATGTGCATGAAACCCATGTCACACAAGAAATGACATGTAGTACAAAATTTCTCTCAATTCTTTGCACTGCTACAGATTAGAGGTCATAATTTGGCTAAATATACTTAAGGACAGAGGTATGATACCAGTCTAGTGCTTCATTGACACTTTTCTTCAACACATATTTTTGGGTTTGTGGTTTTTTTAAATGATGCTTTTATTGATGATGCTGCAGAGTAACGTGCAGTATTAAAGATAAGATCAGAGCAATACTAAATAATAAATTATGGGGAGGCTGTCCAGTATTAAGAAATAGGCATTTTGACAAAAACTAGAGTCCAAAGTCCAGTGATGGGAATTTGGCCCTCTAAACAAGAGATATCTGGTTTAGTCAGAGAAGGTCCCTCCACAAACAGCAAAGAAAGCTAAAAGCACATTACCATGGTATGAGTCACTCTCTATCTCCCGCCTGTAGAAAGAGCCTACAGGATTCACATTATTAGCTCCGACTTAACACCTACATTTATGTATGAATTTGGCAATATAAATCCCACACTAAATATCAAAAAACACTATCTTCCAGTAATCATCTTTAGAAGTTACACATTGTTACACAGTTACACAGTGTTCCAATACCTTCTTTCTCAAATAGCTGCCAAACTGGTTTAACATAGAGGAAAGGTAACTTAGCAAATACTGACTTTTGATGTCAGTGTCTCTAAGGGAAAAGCAATACAGACTAAGCATCTTTCTCCTGCCTCTCATTGCCACCCCTTTTAAAGTAGGGTAGAGTCCCTCAAAGGCTTGTCTGTGAAAATAATTTTTCCTTTCATGCCACCTACAAAGTCTCCTAATATTTACTTTCACCATGCTACAATGGTATTTAAAGTGTTTCTATATTTAGGTGGAAAAACATATCTAAAAAGGCAATGGTACATTTCCTAGCCAGAGGTTGGAAATACTGATTTTTAATGAAAGAACTGTATAGCAGATGCAAATGCTATTTGCATCAAAGAAAACCTCAATTAGATTTCTCCTAATAGTGCTGGACTTGAAATAGTCTGCAATGCCTCTTCTGCGTTTGAAAAGCTGGCAGTGCTCTCATAAGCCGAACTGAACACTTCCTTCTGGCTTCTCAAGCCTTTCATCCCACATCTTGCTCTCAGCATGCATTTGTACCAAGTATGAAATTCTCTTTTTCCCCTCCCTATTTTAAAGGAACAGCACATGAGCAAATGTTTCAGAGTGGTCGGTGACTCCAGATGCTGCTTGAGTATAACAGGGTAGACAGAGACACAGAGGTAGGTTTGGGTTTTCTCTTGCACTTTAGTTGATGTGCTTTGGCATATGGACATCCAAGAAGGCATTTCAATGGATCACAGAGAACAGCTCACAAAGGTACTGTGACTTGCACTGAAAATTTTTGGGTTAAAAAGTAAAATAGAAATTTGAAGCACTTATTTTGCTGCTTACATAGGAGATGAACAATTTTGAGCGAGTGGCAATATTCTGCTAATGGGTGGGTAGAGGGAATCCTATTAGGGTGAAAAATCCTGTTAAGACATATGCTACATCATGCTGAGGAACAGCCCATCCTGGGGGATGGCAGTCAGTCCTTTGTGCTGAGCTTCTATAGACATAAAAAAGGTTGCAAGAGTGAACTCTAATCAGATTTCTAGAATTTCTCCAATGGGTTGGGGCATTAGTGTTTTCCTACATGCAACATATAAATGAAAAAAAAATGTTCAGAGGTTAAATAAACAAAAGTTTTACTAGAGATGTGTCTGTTGTAAGTTTAAAAAAACCCTTAGGTTCATGAGATGATTGTAGAAATAAAGACACTTCACTGAAATTTGTACACTGTTGTAAATCCAATTAAAAAAAAAAACCAACCAAAACCACAACAGCTTATTTTACAGAAAATCCAGCTAATTTTATTCTTCAAAATTAGTTTTTATCCTCTTAAAAAAACATTGTAGCACTTCTGTTGCTCACAAAAAAATCCAAAACAAATGACAACAACAAAACAAAACAAACAAAAAAAAGCAAACAAAACCAAAAACCAAAGCCACTTAAAAAGAGGAATATTCCGCATGGATTCCAAACTCTATTTTGTTGAAAATGAAGACTTGTGTAATACAAAGGCTATAACAATCACTGGCAGAAGTAATCAAATTTGAGATTCAGGACAGACTGCACAGGTACTCAATGTCAACCTTTCAGGAAGAAATGCCAGTGAAGGAGTCTGTTGTGGCTAAAACAGAGACAATTTAAAAAGCAAACCAGTGAAGAATTTTAAAAATTAGTAAGTACAGTTTATCAGAGAAATTTCAGTCTCTGGGCCCAGGAGACGTCAACACAATCCTCTGGAAGATACAGTCCAGCCACCAGCAGACACCTGAACCAATGTTTCCTACAACCCACGGAAGTCTAAGGTACCACCTGTCAGGATGCAGGAAAGTAAAGTTAAATCAGCCCACAATAACTAAAATCTAAAGAAGAAACTTTGCAGCTAGCTTTAAGGCTACATTTCCCTGGTTGCAGAATTAAAATATTTTTATCACCTCCACTTACAGATTTCTCTTAGGTGAAATTATTCTATGTTGCCTTCTGATTACAGAAATACCCACCTCCTTGCAACTCACCATAGAAAATAAAAAGGCAGTGTCTTTGTTTACTTATTGAATGATTTTACTAATTTGATTATTAAATTGCAATCCAGGAATAATGCAAATTGATTTATTTCAGCTGGATTTGGTTTTGCTTTGCTAGCTGTCCTGTTTTATACTTAGTTTAGTAACTGTTATTGAAAGTGGCTGAACTTTCATAAAATACTCTCACTTTACCTGTTAAATGAAAAGAAGCTCTGAGGATCTGGATACGTTACCGGTCACTCAGTCTGTCCATCAGTGCCTGTTGTACAGTGCTAAGGTCTCACCTTGGGATTCCGAGATCTCTTACTTTCACTCCTCTTTCCAGAGCACTAAAGAGGAGAGATGGGAACTGGTCCAGCCTTGTAATAAAGTGGTTTTATTCCCTGGCCATAGCTTTCCGCTCAACTCAGCTGTGCAAATTTCCAAAGCAGTAATGTGATCTGCCAAGGCACAACGCTGGCTGTCAGGTTTGTGTTACACACTCCACGCTGCAACTCCATCCTCCAGTCGTAGTATACCAGCTGGATGACAAGGACCCAGCCAAGTGTTGCTCATCTCATTTTTGGAGGCTCCAGAACTCCACTAAACGTCTGCATTTCACTAGCTTTTCTCTGCCAGGAGAAGGCACAAACACCATATGAAGGAATCCTGTTATCACAGGTCATCCATGGGCAGTTCAGCAAACAGGCATTCCTTCACAAGAGCTACAGATAATTTATTAGGTATTAATGTTAGCATGTAAAAAAAACCCAAAAAAAACACAGACAGCATCAAAAGGAAGAACAAAAAAGGAAAAGAAAAAAGAAGATGCATGCACATTCTGGAGACATACACAGCTGTTTGATGGTGGAACTAGCAAAGAATTTGACAGTAAAAAATTAAAGATCCATAACATGGTGGAGACCTGAAGAAATGGAGACCTGAAGAGTGGTCCTGCTGCCCTGAAAGCATATAGCACAGAGGAAAACACTAAATGAAAATTTGCATGCACATTTTTTGCTGTTTTGCCTCAATCTTTTTACCATTTGTGCTTTATGGTACAGCATGTCTGTGCTAGAAATTTTATGCAGCACTTGTGTCACCTATGAAATGCCATTGCATTAGGCTTCGTAAGACCTAAAGGTGCCCTCAAGTTACTGGAATGTTTGTGGGATCTTGTAAAAATTTTAGTCTAGTGTAACTGGACTGCCAAGAGCCAGATCTAAGAAGGGAGTGATGGACTGAAGACCTTTATACTTGCCTTGTATCTAAAGACCCAATGGCAAAGTCAATGTCTGCATTTGTTCCATTTAAGCAGAAAAATGCTCTTGAATCCAGATTTTGCATTATAATAGCATTGTTAATGTGGACTTTCAATTGCCACTAAGAACTGGCTTTTAATAATGGGCAAAAATAAATAACTCCTGGTGTGCAAAGGTAACATCATTCCCTGTATACCAAACATCCCAGTGCTCAGGTACTTCTCATGCCCAAAGCTGCCTGAGGCTAGTCACTCACCCCCCTCAGCTCACTGAGCCCTTGTCTACATCAGCCAACCCACTCCTGAGCACTCCCCATCACAGCATCTCCCTCAGAGCTGCTGGGCAGAGGTATGCTGGGTAGGCAAACAACTTCTAAGGTGCTGAGAGCAGTGTTTCTTCCATGCTTTTCCTACCCACAGCTCATTTCCCACACACATCTCAGCTGGATATTTTCAATTCCAATTGTCCATCTCCATTTGTGAACAAACCAGTAAATGACTTAGTTAAAGTACAGCTCGTATTTGTGAAACTAATATGCAGAAAACTATGAATTAACAGCCCTTATCCGAAGTCCAACAGGCTGTGCCTATCCTAATCTGTGGGGACCAGTTATCTTCAGGGAACTTTTTAACACTATCTTCAAAACACCAGAAAAATAAGCAAATGCAGTCCTAAACATGCAGATGATCTGGAAGAGTAATGAGTCTTAGAAAGAAAATAGAGAAGCATTCTACAAAAAAGTATGGCTATTACATTTTATAAAAATCTGCTGCCATATGATAATTTTAATTTCATTTTAGAAAGACTCTCTGAAGTGTCAAAGTAATTTGACTACACATTAGCTGTCTCTTAAGCTTGTAATCGAATTCTAACCATAAAATATGATTATATGCTGTATGAAGTTCATCGGACCAATTTCAAAGTGACAGAAATAACCTTTGGCATGATATAAATAGCACCAGCCTGAACCTTTGCAGGCAGTGCCATTGGCTTTCAAATATGTTCAGAAGAGTTGAGAAGGGCATCCTTTAATGTATTTTTTTAATTATTACCATGGAAGGAAGTCATAGTAACAGTTATTTTGAACTGAGGACATTTGTCTGCATTATTCTGTTACTCTAGCCAGAGTAAGAGATTCCATTTAAAATGCCTTCTTTCAAAAAAAAAAAAAAATCATTTCTGACCTAAAAAAAAAAAACAACAACCTTTAAATGAACAACTTTTTACACTCATATTGATAGATGGGCTATTTCTCATCTTAAAGCAATCATCTCTTGTTTAGATTTGTACCTGACATCTGAGAAGGAAAATATTTTGTTGAGTTTCACAATATCATGTGTGGGAATTCAGGGGTGATTTAACATGTTGATGGTGTGCACAGTGCTACTGCGACCGCTGTCTAGACATCTACAAAATTCATTAACAATTTTCATCCGTGGGTTTCAGTTCTTTATTTATTTATTTTGTTAGGTAAGGACAGGTTAGCCACAATTTGAGGCTAGAAAATAAGGGACAGAGCACAGCTTACATAATGCCAACTGAGAAACCTGTGAAATTAAACCTTCTCTAGAGTCCCAAGTCAATGGCTGTAACTGCAAGACTGTCAATAACAGCACACATTTCAGGTTGCTGATTATTTTACTTGGTTCCTTCTCTTGCAATGATGCTCTTCAGTGATGGACCTCATGCAGAAGTGTTGAATGCTTCATATGCAGCTGCCTACATAGCTGTTCTGCAAAACCAGATTGCTTCCTAATGTGTGTTCAGTGAATAGAAGACCTGCAAACAAGTTCTTGCTCTGTTTAACAGCCTGAAGCTTAATGCAGCCCAATCTTTCAAGCAAAAATTAGACAAGACAACTTTGCTTCTACAATAGATACTAAGAGTCTTCATGCAAGAGATGGGTATGGGTAAGCATACTTACATACACCCCACTACTCATTTGCTGTAAGTGTGGCTTTACATCTGGTGCTAAGCATGTAAATAGGGCATTATCTTTAAAAAAAAGGTGTCTCAGAGTAGAAATATCTTTATGATATTACTAAAGAGAAGTTTCACTTACTGGTCTTGGTAAACTGTACTGATACATTTCTGGTCTGTATGTGGGTACCCACTGTACCCCCCCTCTAGGTCGGGTCATGGTACCAGGAGCACTGGTCACAACCTCTGAGTAGGGCAAGTGCGGTGCTGAGCTGTACGCCTCCTGCCTGCTCTGTCCTCCGTGGCCTGCAGAGGCCAGGCTGAAAGCCTCTTCCAAGAGCATATGCATCTGCTGTCGAACCTCATCAATGGAGGGCTGAGAACTTAAAGTTGAGGTCTCTGAGTGGCCTTTGGCCTGACGGGACCTGACGTAACTCCGAGGCTCGTTGACACGGTCAACATTTGTTTCTTCTATAATTTCAGGCTCAGTCTGTTGGATGGAATAAAAGCATGTATACATAAAAAGCTTTACAAGACAGTATTTGTGCTGCTTCAGACAAAACATTCTCAAACACAGATGTAACATATACAAAGTAAGGAATTGTGACAATATAGACACATGACAAATATTGGAAAGGAGTGATATGATGCAGGCGAGTATAATAGCCAGGGAATCAAAGACTCATTTATATCCTCCATTGTTTGCTGCAAAAACTAGCAGGGACACTCTGTAGCAGATTTAATTGTCAATGATTCACTTAAAAACAATTAGAATTAGTGTTTAAACTCTTTTCTTAGTTGTTAGTAACAACGGGAATACAACTGTGCCAGGAAGAGTATGGCTTCCTAAATAGTAGCATCACTATGAAAGACCCCTTACAAGGGACCACTTGTTACAGCTACAGGGACTGAAATCCATTTGTCCATTCTTCCACATTAAGATTTCAGAAGAATTAAAGTCTAGCAGTTTTCCTGAACTTTATAACCCACAGAGGACTGCCAACAATGACACCATAAACTAGGTCCTGCCCCTTGCAGAAAATATCCTGACCTAGCTCAGTCATCTTACCTAGCCACCAAACAGAAATTTATCCAAAAACTAATGTGGGAACAGTGAATGAAGCACATACTCTAACAAGCAGATAGAACTCGTGATGCTTAACTTGGAGAGTTACTCCTAGGGTAATTCCTTCTATACAGATAAGTTCGTGCATTTTTATTCCATTGTTATCTGTGTTGTTACAGGGTAGGGTAAATAAAAACCAGGAAAATGTTAGAAGCCTGACTATAAAATGCAATGGTAGTTTGTATAAGTGCAACCAAAGAGCCTCTGAAATCGTACTGGCCCAACTGGATAATTAATAAACATGGTTATTCTATTTCTTCATGACTGTATAAACATCAATGAATGGAATCCCACAAGAGACCTATTCATTACCCAATGCTGAAATAAATCAGGTTCTCTACCACAACCCCTTGGTGAAGCCATCAGACCTCTATAGAATATTTAAAATATACCATATGACTAAAGGATGCATATTAGCAGTCAACATAAAGCCAGCTTTGATTTATCAATATAAAACTTGGAATGAAGATTTTGGAGGAGACTGGCGACCATTAATTTTCCTCAAGTTTTAAAATTTAATTTAATTTAATTCATTCTGTCATTTGCTTTTCTATCAAGTGAAACATGTAAGTATCATAAATAGATGCCTCTATACGTTAATGTTACCATACATAAAAATCCAGGTAAGGTTCATACACAGTTACTATATAATACAAGGAACTGCAGTTATGTGAAGAAGGAAAAGGAAGTCCTGTACTGAGAGACAAACTTTCTACACTTCTAGTGTTAATCCATAAGCTTTTTAAGGATTTGCATTAATTTAACTGTATCAATAAAATTATATGAGTAAATTATTTTGTATATTGAGCTCTTAAATATATATAATGCGGTAATTTTCTTTCTTTTACACCTAAAACAGCCTAAATATTTTCTGCCCTAGTATAAGCTCATTGGCAGCCTAGCAGTTCTGGAATCTTTCATGATAGCATTTGCTGTACTCACCATTGTCTGTGAATGTGTTGGACATAATAAACGTGTTAATATGAAGTTCCCTTAATCTACTCGCTAGGTGAAGGTGATGATATTAAACTCTGTTGCAATTATTTAAAATTGAAAGACAGGTACTGTTCAATAATAATCCATTTATAAAAGGTGCTATAAAGGCAAATAATATACTCATAACATCAAACAGTAGAATATACTCCAAAATGCTTTGAAAAGCCATGTATTCTATATGGACATGTTTGTAATTATTGACCTCTTATCCTCACCAGTTTTTAGCTCTGAGAAACAGAATCACGATTCAAAGAAATATCACCAGAAAATCATTATAGGGAATGAAGTATTTTTAGAAAATAATAATTGAAATATTAGCAATCTGTTATGTAAGGGAAATCAAAAATACAAAACAAAAAAAAAATCAGTAGTGTGGAATGCCAGATTTCTGGGCTTGCACTTCCCTCTCCTGTTTAATGGACAAAGCAAAATCATACAGATCATAAATTCTCATGATTTGGTTGTGCATATGAGTCTAGCGGATGTTAAGAATTTTTCTGAAAGAATTTGGGGGATCTTAGTCTCTTTTAAGAAATAAATTAAAAAACATTTACCATTGTAGAGAAGATAAATCTCAGCACATAACCTGGGTAGAGTGGTAACAGTTAAAAAAAAATGACTTGAAGATATTATAAGCTATTTAATTCATGAATTTAATTATTTGGAGCTGCTTATAAAACCCAAATTTCACCACTCTTCGGCAGAAGATGCTGCTAAACAACATACTGGGAGAAAGTTGTTAGCAGGACCCCAAGAAAACTGGAACCTTTCGAACAACAAAGTGGATGTCAAAAAATAGCACAAGATGTTACTACATAAAAAAAGAAAGGATGCAAGATTCAGCATAGAAACCAGCCCTTTTTCAGAGCCCTTTTTCACCCGTTTTCACAGGTCAGATTTACAGAGGTGTTTAGTTGCACCACTGGTGAGATCCACATGAATGCCATGCATAAATATAGATAAGTGCCCACCTATGGGTATCCTGGGAGACTGAGCCTGTCAGACACTAAGCACAGCTCTGAGGAGCCTCAAACAGGAGTGAGGGAAACCAGCCCACGCTGCAAACTGAGGCTCAGGAACTAAATTTCAATATCCTGTCCCATTTTTCCCTGGCATTTTTCTGCTTTCAGACAGGAAACATTCAGAGTTGCACTGCAGTGAATCTGCAGCACATTGGGCAAAAGGAATTTTACATAACTTGTCAGTAAAAAAGACTACCATAGACAGCTCGCCCAACTGCAACCTTGAAAGACAAAAGCAAACTTGTGTGTGATGTGCACGGACCTCAGAGCTGTAATTACTTTTAGGACATTTCAGAATCTGCATAAGTTCATTAAACTGATTTCAAGTTTTTTGACAACTTTTCTTTGAATTATATTTTATATATAGTATACACAATATATTAAAATATATTTAAAATATCTTCTGCTAACTACTTACAGTATATTAATTTTGAACTAATAGCAGAAGGCCATGCCTGCTCCCAGAATGTTTTCAACATTCCTTTCAGGAAAAGATCACCTATGAAAAACTACCTTATATTAGCATATTAAAAAAAATCTCTTGTTTTCTTGAAACTTATGTTTTTCAGGATACTGAGGGAAGGCTCACTTCACAAAATTTTTTACTATGTAAGAAAGCTCCAATATAAGAAACTTTTAAGTGGGGTAAGAAAAAAAATCTGCAAAATGTAAAACCTATTTTAACAGGTTATACTGTTCTTTTTCCAGGCTAAAGTGATGTATTGTAATGCCTCAGAAAGGAGTTAACCAGTCATCCCACTTACATGGCACAACATGACTCATGCAATCTGATGGGAAGTGTCCAAGTGCAGGAAATCATTTAAGAAATCTGACACCTACAGCATGCCCGGAAAAATTCTATAAAAGATTTAAACTTCCTTGAATGCATCCCCTGACCTTGGTACATTCCTTCACCTTGCTAAAAACACATCCTTGGCAGCTGAAAGAGTTGATAGTTGAACCCCACACAAAATGCTTGTCATCTATGGAGTATAGAGGATGAAAAACCACCAATAATTTCCCTATGTTTCAGAATGGTCTAGACCTTTTCCAGGGACTGATTTTCAGGGATGGCTGAGGTACAGCATTTTGTACATGTGACAAAAGATTGAAAAATCCTACATTACCCTCGTGTGGGGACTATTTTTATCCTCATTCTGGGTGCACGCACGCGGTGTCAACCTGCACTCAGTGTATGTTCAGACTACACAATACAACTCATTTAGCCTTGTGTTGGCCATGTGAGTTCCTTGGATCATAAACCAGCAACTCCTCTGGCTGGTTTTGACATTTACCTATTCAAAACTCCAGTTCTGGTGTAGTAAGAGGACAATATCTGTTCCTAGGGGATTTCCACAAAACACTAACATCGGGACTTAAGTGAAATTCCCAGAAATTGGTTGTTCATTCTTCTGTATCAAGAGAGCAGCATCAGGGGTACAAAATAGAGGATTTTAATTGTAATGAAGAAAACCCAGTATCAAGTAAGTGGCCACATACTTAGAAGAACCATCTAAATTCAAAATTCAGTATTTCGACAAATACTGAGTTTCAGGACGAATGCTTTGCTTGCGTTTCAGACTGTTAAATGATGTACAGCTATAAAGTACATGAAAGAGTTTGTGCTCTCAGTATCCAGAGCTTTTTTCAGGATGCTGAGTGCACATAATGTACCGTAACATTAAATATCCAGTGGTGTTCTGACTTGCAGCTTATAAATAGTTTCCTAGTTTCAAGAGTAAGTGAAGACTTTGCTGAGCAAATTTCACTGCATGTATCTGATGAACTTACATCATATCCACTGTTACGGATTCCACGTCTAGGTCTTTCTCGAGTCACTAGGAGATCCATCTCAGTTTCTCCTGGGCTAGGACTGTTCAAAGACTGTCTGCTTCTGTATACTGAGCTCTTCATTGGTTGCCTAAAAAACATGAAACAAGAAAACAGTAAAACAAAAAGAAAACAACAAAAAAAATTACAGGTAGCAGTTTTCAATATTTACCTTTTTCTAAAATTATGAGGTTCATAAAAATGCCACTTTTTAATAGGATATTCTTTCTATGCATATGGAAGTGATAGAAATCAGTAACATTAAGAAATCATTAATTTTGTTTACTGTTAAAGAAAATAAAGCTACGTAAAAGACATGGACATCCCATGTTGGAGCTTATCAGATTAAATATGTCCCAAGAAGATATCAGAACCCATTAACCTCAGCTGACATGCATAAAGAATAAACAGGTGCTAATATAAAAAAAATAATAGGACCTCCCACACACTTAGATGGAGAGTCGAGATTTTGGTTCCTGATCTTGAGCAATGAGAGAGAAGCGGAATAACGCTCCCGTGAAACTAACACCCAGCAAAGTGAAAGGGAAGAGAGACAGGAGTGGGAGGGAACTGTTTGCAAGATGCTGTTTTTAAACAGCCAGTTTGGTAACTGGTCACAACTTTACCAGAGAGCTGCACTCCCTGGAATTAAACCACTTGCAGTATTGCTCTGAGCAGCACTGGGGCAAAGGCATCCCCAGGCACTGAGCTTTCACCACTGTGTGCTCAGAAGCAAAGGGAAGCTAGAAAGACAGCATATAACTCAATACCAAAAATATCCTGTAAACTTTCCAACGCAACCATTTATTTCCTTGTCATTGGTTATACAGAAATAAATATAGCATTTCTCTGTAAGATACAGAACATATATATACATAAACTCTTCGCAACTGGTTACCAAATCATGATACAGGAACTTCATGTTTCGTCAAGCTGCAACTTTTAAGAAGGCTACAACTAAACCAAAAAAGTTTAGATGTTGTTCTCATAGGCCATTAGTCATTTTCTTGCATACCCCAGAGAAGTGCTCCTCTCATTGTAGATCAATGATAGATCAAATAACATAGTAATGACACTGTTGTTAAAGCCTGATATTAAGTTATCTTCATGCCTAGTCATGCTATTTTTATGCTTTGTACAATTATTCTGTTCAAATTAAATTAGATCAGGTCATTTAACATGTCAGCATGTTGCCCATTCTGCATAGGGAACCTGACAATGTTCATAGTGAAGTAAGAATTCACTGAATTCACACTTTCAGTCTCCATTTGCAAGGTAAGATTTACACCTGAATATTAACATTGTGTTGTCAGATGGATCCCCAACATGAGCTGGGGCCCGCTGATCCAACCCTGGTCACTATGCTCAGCAGACAATACTAAGAGATATAGCAAAGGCATAACAACACGGATTTTGAAGTGACCTGCTTCTTTCAGTGTCTGCACTTAGGTCAGGTGGACTTCTCTCCATACCTGCCGGGTTATACTGTTTCTTCCTCTGGCACTTGAACCACTAGTTCTCAAGTAACCCTCACAGATTGACTGGATATGTACACTTATTCCTTGTTCTCCCAAGGTTGTCTTGGGTAACTAGAACTACCCAAGCAGCGACGTTGTGTCCACAACATTATCTTGCTCAGTGTTTTGTGAGAAAGTGAAAACATCCTTAGTGTATCCAGTTCATCCAAGTACATTTTTACATTAGAAAAGTTCAAAAATTACAAGCATTTTTTGCCCTTCAATCAGATCTTGGCACAAGATTGCTACTGTGGTAGGGGTTCAGTACAGTGATGGGATGATTTGAGGCTACTGCAAGGGAGGGTTACAAAGGCAATAAAAATCAGTCAGCACACAACAGCCTCTCAGACATGATTGGTAAATTTGTGGGAATCAGAGAGGAACTGAAAGCAGAAATTTGAAAGGGGGCTATTGAAAAGAGAAGACCTGGGTGAATTTTCTGACATTCACTTGAGAGAAGTAACTTGAGAGAAGATGCAATCTTGTACTTAGATTTGATTGAAGGGCAAAAAATGCTTGTATTAAAGTTAAGTGAACCTGTGGCTGAACACTCTGAGTTAGTAAGGTGGGTAAAAATAAGGTCTGTAGAGTTTGAAATGTTGGGGACTTTATGAACCAATTACAAAGAGATCTACTACAATATTTGAGATCTTGAAAAGCTTAAGACCATTTCTGTAAGTGACATAAGAGGAAATCACATTAAGTAGCCTCTTTCCATTCAGCAATTACAAAAACTTCATGGTTTGAAAGTCCCAAATGCACTGCCAAAGCAGGACACAAGCACAGTTTTGGAATAAATTTCCCCTTTAAATACAATATTGTGTAAATTAAAGGGCCTTATCTTGTTTCTTCGAAGAAAATACTGCCGCTGTTACCAGAAAACATGAGGAACTAGATTATGCTAAGGCTAATCAGATCTGACAGTCTTTATGTTCCTACATTAAAGGTCTCCAAAATTTCATACAAGTTTTACAGTAGGTCAGTAAATACTTAGAAAATATATCACAACTGCATCAAGTAAGGAATTCAACTATACATCTCTCTAATATGTGCAGATTCTTGACCTGATTACAAGCTATTAAAGAAAAAAACAGAATAGGGCATATCATCAGTAGGCTCTTAAAAATTGCCTTAAGATTGCCAATTAGCTCATTTAAGAAAGTTTTACTAATGAGAAGGAAGGTATGAATGCTAACAACTGGCATTCAAATGGGTTAGCAAGTGCCTTCTGGGAGCATAACTGGAACATTTTAAAACATTAATTTTATGGTACAGAAGTCTCAAAGTTACTAAGAGCACAAAGCTGTTTGTTCTCGAACAAACCAAATTATTTGGTGGCAATGTTGTGTATATCACTTTTAAATAAAATTTTAAACAAATTTAAAATGTAAGGATGATCTTGAATAATGTAATCAACTGCATATTTTTTTTCCTCATACATTTTGTGAATGTTGTAATAATGTGGTTAAATTTAGTGGAATATATGCAAAACAGAAAACAGTGGAATAGACCTTTTCCACAGAATCTTTGAAATCTTTGACTTGCTCCTAAGTTATATTCTTTTTTTTAAAAAAGCCATTTTTCATTTTTTAATTGCTGTAACTATAATGATACAAACAATGATACAAAGCAGAAAAAGTCAGAAATCAAATCTTTTCCATTTTATGCTAACGTAGATTGCTTTAAAAGCAATTAAAATTCATTGTGGAAATATAATTGCATTTATTCATTTATCAATAACCAAACCCCACATTAACTTGTAGTATTACTCAAGCTTTTCCTCCAGCAGTGTGCCATTTTAGCCATCTTATTTTTAGTTAGAAAAATGAAGACAACAATGCTGTCATGTGTGTTGCAGCATAGCAATTCCAGGTCTTAGTATGGAAATTTTAGCGTAGACTTTGGAATTGGCTTGTTTGCAAATATCTGCAACATCTATGAAGTTCTCTAAATGCTTGGTGTCTTTTCAGAAAGTGCATCAGAAATGGTTACTCTTGCTTCCTGTGTAGGGATATAGACTATATATTTAACAAGTAAATCCAGCAGTCAGCCCTTTATGGTTCGGCTACACAATGAAATTGTTCCTCTACAGCAGTACACCTGCCTTCAAGCAGTTTATATCATGCCAGTGGTCACTATCTCAAATAGACTATGACAGGTTTACACAACACATTGGAAAGCATACAGAAAAAATGTATTCCAGAACCTTTCAGCACATTGGCACATGAACAAACATCAGTATATTTAACAAAAAGCAGATGGTTAGCATTAAAGCTTCATGTGTAATGCTTTAAACATTTCCTACATGGCATGTGACACATAATAAATATCCAAAGTAATGCCTCAGTCCTTCACAATATGTATAGCACACAGTCATATTGATATTTCTACTGTTTCATCCATATCTTCTGCGCAGACTGCACAGGACTCCTGTGTCATGAGGTCTCAGTATCTTACCTTTTCAGTGCACTCAGAGCAATTTATTCCTCCTTCACTGGAAAACTGCACAAGCAAATTATGCCCGAGATCCTCTAGCATGGACATAATATACAGTTAAGTCAGCATCTTTTTTTCTTCATTGACCAGTACAGCCTTGGGAAATGGCCCATCAAGCGTGGTATCCCTCAGTCATTTAACTCTAGTCCTATAGAAGTTCATTGCCCGTATTCTGAGCCAAACCTGCTTTTATATTTCCCACTACAGTGTTTTTAATCTCTGTGCCCCAAGGGTAATTGCTGAGGTTGCACTGTGTGCAAAGACTGTGTCACCAACTGTGCTTTGATTGCAGTTATGATTTATGCTCATAAGAGAACTTTGGTCTGAACTTTCCAGGAGATGGGATACAAGATTGCACCTTCAGGCATGGGACTATTTCCAGAGGAACTGTGTACTTCAGTATCCCTTTTTCTCTCATGGATCAACTGCTGCTGGTCCCTGACTACAGTGAGAACCAGAGTCCTCGTGGTGCAAAGTGCAATGACAAACACAATCTCTTATAATCTTTTACACCTCCACCGCCTCCAAAGAGGAATCTGCATACTGTGCCATTCCTGGGGTAGGACTGGTGTGATCTCCTCTTTTCAATGTGTCAACTTGTGCTTCAGAGAGCAACAGCAACAGAGCAGGTCCACCCACCCACCCACAGTAGTCTCAGGCAGAATCAGCTTATACTCTCCCCTCTCATTTCTAAAATGGGGAGATGAATGCTACTGGTGTGCCATCTTCAAGAGACAGTGAAGTGTTAATCAAACATTAGTACTGTTATACAATGTGTCAGCTTCGCATCACAGATGAGCAAATTATGACTTTCTCTGTTAAAGGCACAGGAAGATCACCAGTAACAGATATACTCACATCCTTACAGATACCATCCCTGCAGGACTTGCTGAAATACATGGACAACATACTGGTTGTGTTATCATATGGCTACTGCAATAGTTATATTCAGATAAAAATAACAACAAAATAATACCACCACTAAACTTTGAAAAAGAATGAACTCAGATCCAGCTTCCTGGATGAAGTCCACTCTCAGTATTACCAAAAAATTACTGTCATTTTTTTCTATTTACCTTGCTTAGAAAATGACTCAAAAGAACTTGCAACAGTCCCTTCCCTTATTTTTTCTGGCTTTCCATTTCTTTCTTTTTATTCACATTGCAGTTTTACCAGATAACATACTTCCATAAATAAACATGAGTAACATGAATTTTCTTCATAAAGTAGGAGGGACCAGATGACCATACAGCAAACAGTTGGCTCATTAAGAATGGCCCCTTTAATTCTCTACAACCCCTGGACATCAACTTTTCACCCAAATGAAGAGCTGCATATAAAAATTCTTACCTGCTCTTAGGCTCAGCAAACGGAGACGAGACATCTGCATCTGGATGCAAAATGTGGTCAAGTTCTTTCTGGTTCTTTTCATACATCCTTTTTCTCTCTGTCAGCCCCTTGTTGTTATCAACCTGTGGGAAATCATAGTACCCCTTCCTTTTGGCTTTCAAGCGCAGCTTGTTGCGGTAATGTTCTATATCGGACTTCTGCTTCAAAGCCTTGTTCACCTGAAAGGCAAAAAAGACCTTTGAAGGATGGTGCTGGGCTGGTTACTTCCAAACGGTATTGTTGGAGTGTGTTTGATGCGCTGCCTGTGTCATTTTACAGAGTGCTTTTTGTACCACACCGTGCCATCTGTAAGCAGCGAGGAACTGCAAGTGAACAGAGTTGCTGCATTTTTATGGCTTGGCAGATGGTTAAATAATTTTAGCCTAAAAACTATGTACCATCACAACAGTGACTCAGATACACCCACTAAAGAAAAACACTGATGATGTTAGCCAATTGTCATGACCCAATGCCATGCTTGCTTTTGGGCACTATGGGAAGAACTCACCGATGAAAAGTCTTCTAGGGTCCCATAAGTACAGAGACATCACCCTTCACTACACAAAACCTTAAATAAGTCATCACTGGTGGCTGGGGAAGAATTCCAATGAAATATCATCATATGTTCCTCTTTATATGCTTCCTTACAAATCTGTTATGGCCCCTGTCAGAGACAGGATCCTTAAATAAACAGGTGTTTGGTCTACCTGGTACAGTTCAGGTCTCGTGGATGCTCCTAAGTATCAAGAAAACTTCCCTCCTGCTTCAAATTCTCAATTACATGGAAATGAGCAATTTACCTGAGCTTTGTACTTCCAGAGTCAAATTCTACAATCTTCCTACAAATTTCAAGAAATGTATGTACAAGAAAGCACACAGCACCAGAATGGCTAAATAAGCCATTCCCTGAGTCTGGAAACTACATGGCACGTCAGGCCTTAAAATGCAGGTACAAAATGAAGGACAACAGTCTGCTCTAATCCGGGCCCACATGGGAAGTGTGATGACACTGTGTTTTACTGTGTCTCTGGCAGCAGCCCTCCATGTTGCTTTTAAACACAACAGAGAGATTCTGGCTGATCTTTACATGACTGTTGCAGTGCAAGTTTGCAAACAAGACATCTCTCTGGCTTGTGCCAGACTATAACTATATAAAAGCCTTGGTCCTTTGTAAATGGACCAGTCTTGAAAACGTCTACATAAAAACATGAGTAATCATACCAGCGTTAGAAGCAAAGCATGGCTTTTGGGCAGCACCTAGATCAGACACCTGTGCCACCCCACTTTATTCCCAGGAAACAACTGCACTCTCTGTGCACAGGCTGGATTGCAGACTGAGCAAAGCCATGTTCCTGTTCTACCCCCCTTCTTGCTCTGAATGAGATGTATTCCTCAATTTAAAGATCAGCTTGGGACCCAAACGATCTATATACATTTCCATTTTCAGCTACAGAATTCATGTAGACAGAGATCTTATTCTGCTCTCTGCCTTCATTATTCATCTTGTTAAAACTAATATGATAGGAGAGAAGGATATTGAGAAGATAGGAATATAAATAATTGCCTCTCCCAAGGTCACATGCATTCACAGGTGCATCGCAAAAGAGCAGATCTTTAATTCTCAGACCTCCAAGCCTGCAATGCTAATGGGACTTCATATAGTATCAGGGTGAAAAGCTCCTGCCAGCCCTCAACTCTAACAGGCTTAAGATTATTCCACCTGTGGATGTAGCCAAGGAAACAGATGGAGACATTATCAGACAGTCCTTACCTCTCCATTAATGATGGCAGATTCCTGGCTTCTATCTGATGCAGCATGAACAGCAGGCAGTGCCATGGGTTTGATAGCTATCAGCTGTACTGATCCAGAAGAGGTGTCGAAGGGGTCAATGGCAGATTTGGCAATATTGTCAAAGAGAATGCCTCCTTCCTCTTCATCGCTTACAGGCACTAAAGCACATCAGACTTATTCAGCATAAAGACACAGATATTTTTACTGTATGTTCAAGGTGAAATTCAGTGAGCACATGCTTTGGATTAATGATGTGCTCAGTACATTCGAGAAGCAGACCTGGGAGACCTTTACACTGGAAAAAAAATCCCACTAGATTACAGATAACATTAAGTATTCAAAGGATTATCTGGCACTCCCCCAAAGAAGGTAGATTTTCAGTCTGCACTAATAAGATGGGGAAAAAAAGGAGAAAAATAATGATGTAGATAATTGTATGAAAATTACAATGAAAGTCAAGTGCACATTTTCCTAGGTTTCACATGGAAAAGATATTATATGCGCACTCAGGACACAAGTCTCCACATGCCAAGGCATCAGCAATTACACCTGATCTAACCCAAGAGTGCAGCTTTTTTGTGTCTTACACTCCAAGAGCATAGGCATTCTCAAAATTTGTAAAAGAAACCCACTGATTTTAGCAAAAGTTAATAATGCTAAAAATGCCACCTGTTAAAATGAAAGCATTACTGTTGTGTGTTAAAATATGCTTAAGAAACCGACGGTGTCCAAGTTTATGGTTTTTTTTTTCTTTGCTAAGCAGTACCTCAGGTAGCTGTGAAGTTAAATGATAAAAATTTCTTAAGAAATAGAAGAAGACTTCTGAAAATCCTTAAGACTAAATGGCATGACAAAGCATCTTTAGTTTTCAATTTCTATATAAATGGTAACTCTTTCATGTACAGTTGGGCTCTTTCTCCTCCAAATTTTGTTTGTAAACCTTTGCATCACCTTTTCAGCTGTTGAACCTTAAGCCTTTTATCCCCATTTTGGAATAATATAACTACTCTAACACATGAATTCTACAAAGAGATTCTTGCAAATATTTTTGAATAATTATGCTATTAGAAGGAAGACTGTTTGCTCCATCTCCTAACTGACAGGAGCCGAGATCCTCTGCTAAAGAACAAAGTGGTCTGCTCTAAATTTATTTCCTCTGAAAATACGTTCTGTTTTAATATTTAATCATTGCACAAATTACAATGGACTTATATAAACTCAGCAGTTTAGACAGCCAGTGATTTTGGTAAGGAAATATTTGACAGTAGTAACATAAAATATGAACCCACTAAGTAGGCTTATTATCTTTCTGCCCTGTACTCAGGTGGACTGGAGTTGACACTACTTGGGCTTCTAAGAAATTGATGGGTTAAATCACTCTGTCATTAAATATTGTCCCTCTGGCTCCACAGAACTGTCCAAATATTTAGTGGATCTGACATCCCCTCATCCCGCCTGTGGTTGTTCAAACACACTGAATTTGTATGCTTACTGAAGCAAGTGGATCAGAAGCCTGGCTCACTGAAATTAACTGCCAGACTCCCGCTAATGACCACACCACCAGAACACCACAGCAGTGAAATCAGATGAAGGAGGGATACCTGCCTGCCACAGATTGCACTTTAACAGAAAGACATTTACATTACAGTGAGTAAAAAAGCAAAGCGCGGATGTTCTTCCTTCAGGGCATTTTCAATCGGTCCAGTTCTCAGGAAAGTCACCAGATACAGTTCTGGAAGATGGGTCTTGTCTGTACTTCACCACTGGACCTTCCACACCACCCTAGCAAGGTACCTCTGTTGTGGCATGACTATGTCCAAGAGAAAAAAAGTTTGTCTGAATTTTTCACCGTCAAAAATGTTCTCTCACGATGATTACAGCTCAGGTGAGCCTGGATAGTATCTCATCAGCAATCCAAATTCCATTCTCCTTGGCTGCCTGTCTCAGCATTTGCCTGAACCAGGCATGCCCAAAAACCCTGGCTAAGCATCAACTTGTAAAACATGATTCTTTCCGAACATCCTCTATGTACTTCAAGCAGAAAGTGCCAAGAAGTGCAGCTGCATTTCAGAAGGACTGTGCTTGCTGATACCCCAGCAGTATCTCCATGCACACACAGCAAGCATGACTAGATAGAGATGTGTGGGTTGTCTCCTCAAAGACAGAATCAGAAACCAAGAGTTTTGCTTAATTAAACAGAATTGCTCTGGTTCAGAGGCTCATTAAAGAAAAGAAAAATCAAGTGTAAAGAGAATCAGAAATCACAGACGACAGCTACTTCTGCTGTAGTACATTAACACCTAAGAGCATCCTCAGTATCAGCCCTCTTATCCATAAGCACATCTGCATGTATTGCAATGGTATTGGCATGGAAATAATAGCCAAATGGGACTAGAAATTGGAAGTCTATTTCACATTAGCTTAGCATTTGTTCATTAATTGACATGTATAATACTAAAGTAGTTTTTTTCCATTGCCATTTTTTCACCAATGCGTGATAAAGATCTGCAGTTACTGCCACACTGCTATAGTTTGTATTGGCAGTGAACCATAAACAAGTACTGTGGGAATTTTAATATTTATTCCTATCTGTCCCTTTCAAGAGAATTTACAGCAAGTGTGTATAAAGCAATTGAACCACAGTAACCTCTAAACTTTAAAAAACAAACTAAAGGGAGCTCAGAGAAAAGTGGAAGTCCTGGAATGTTTGTTTCTGCTGTGTATCCCTGCCCTGGACCAGCTTACAGATCCAGACACTTTGGCTGGGCAAGCAACCAATGGACACGGTAAACTTCAGAGAACTGCCCTGTAGTTCCTTATAGTCACTCACAATAAGCATACTTGCTTATTATAGTAGCAACACAAATTTAAAACAATGTTTTCAATTTCTGTTTTTAAACAGATGCATACCAACATTTTTATGGATTCATTGTTCTTCTACTCTTGCTTGCACCATCTGTGCACACATAGCGAGACTTAGAAGTTCAGCAGCAAGAAAGGGGAAAAATATTACTTAACCACCTATTTAGCAGTAATTTCCCACATCTCAAACATCCTGTGCTAGATACCACATGCCACACGATCCACTGAGATTGAATTACTCCTGCTAATCTTCCTGTGACTGAAGCATACAAAGATACATCCAAAGCAACCATTTATCCAGGTTGAGTGCCAATCAGCGTGGTACTGGGTTTCTGAAGAGCAGGACCATCGCTGAAGCTTTATCTTCACATCAGTGCAGCTATTAGGATACAAGATTTGCTAGGTTAAAGCTGCTTCAGGGCTGCCAGCCAACAACGTGGGTGTAGCTCTGCAAACTTTCCAGCCGGCAATGCCAGCAGGTGGTGCTACCCACTCGTCCCACCAGTCCTCCAGCCAGTGCAAAAAGGGGCTGTGGAACTGTAGCTCTGAACGGCTAAGAAACAAATAGATGGAATATTGAATTTTTATCTAGCTATTAATTTATATTTAAAAAATTAAAAGTTCTACTTTTGTCAGCCTCAGATTTCAATATGCAGGTTACAGAAGAGTTCTTCCTTCTGTCTTTCCCTCCACCTTGTCTTTCCTCCCGTCTTCCAAATCAAAATATGTCGGAAGGGAGAAAAGAACTGAAATACTTACCTATTAGAAAGAAAGTAAAACAAAAATTAAATTACCTGTGGATCATGTAACCTTACAGCAAAATACTTGAAAAAAAGATATGTGATGTCCTGCTCAGAAGCCACCATTTGACCAGTTTTGAAAATCCTCAGTAAAAGAATGACATTTATGGAGAAAAATACATGAAGACAAAACAAGGGAAACATTCATAAGCAGGCAGACATGCTCTTCCTTGTGTTAGGTCATTCAATGAAACATTAAGCATTTTCAAATATTTATTTTGTATGAAGGGAATGCAAATATTATAAACATCCCTATAGTGTGCAGTGAATTCTCTGAGTAATGGAAGGGCTTAATTAATAGGAAAGTAAATAGATTATATTAAATGAAAATCGTAAGTTTGGCAAAGAGCAAACCATGCCACAGATCTAAAAGGCTGTTTCCTTGGGAAAGAGACTGCATATAAGTATTTCAAACAGAAATCCTAAGTCTTGAATGTAAATTAATAATGGGGAAATAATTTTCATTTTAGAGAAAATCTCTCTATACAGAAAAATAATGGGTATTTTTATATCATCTAAATCATTCAATTTATCTATCTCCAGAAAGGTATGAACAAGAGCTCTTACCAATAAAGAAACATGCTTCTGAAAGAGTTTATAAAGCTATAAGAAAAATAAAAGTTTCTTAACATCAGTGTCTGAACCTATTCAGGACTAAAATACCTCTCTATAAGATACTGCAGTGTAACAGAAAATATACTTATGTGTACACACACACACCCTTTCCGAAATAGACCCAACTGTGAGAGTGCAATTCTAAGCCTTTCATGAACAGCACAAATAGTTTCTTTTCAAAGAAGCAGTCAATGTTCAGACCAACAGAAGCAGCTCATGATTCCTCCTGGATATAATTTTCTCATATGTGAAGTCTGCTAAATGCCAGGCCATGTGTCAGAGGCGCTGCAGTCCTGGGTTTGCGTGGGATCCTGAAACAGGAGTTACCTAAGCAGGTCATTTGAGATCTCTAAACTGACAGATGCAGGGTTTTTTTTATGAAACTGTATACATGAGGTGTCTACTCTTCTATTAGCTGCTCGCTTTGTTCACTTTCTATGAAGGTTTCTTGTCCTTATAAGCAGAAGCAAGGACATCTCTCTGTGTGCTTATGTCTTCTCCTCCAACCACACCTGCCTTTCCTATCCAAGTCTTTCAAAAAGAAACCATACATTTCATAATGTTTGTAGAGAATCCATCAGCCCCTTTTCTTGGCTAGCACTTCTGTAATACCATCCTAGGCACGTTCAATAATAATAATAATAATAAGAAGAAGAAGAAGAAGAAGAATCAGTTAACTGACAAGGATGATGACTATACAAAGAAGATAGGGAAAGCATGAGAACCTACAGCAGAAGACACTTTTTTAGGAAAGTAGTGCTTTGTGAGATTTAAAAAGCTCTGCAGAAATCATTTTCTTTTTGCACAGTAAAAACATGCATTTGTCTTCTTCAATGCTGACGTATTAGTGAAAGATCACAGCGATTCAGACTGCCACTGGATCTGATGGCATGAACATCTACACGTTCTTCGCACTGTTGCTTGGATGAGAACTGCTGTCAAACTCAATTAGTGGCAGAGTAAAGTTCATCTGGAGGGGAAGGCAGACATGAATTAAGAAATACTTAACTGCTCAACTGCCTGCTGATTCCAGTTCCTTCTGAGCTCTGCTGCAACAGGTGACATAGGATAAGGCATTTTCTTGCCATGAGAAAAGCAATCAAAAAGACTGCCTCAAAATGAAAAGAAGACAAGCTGGGTTAGCCATGTTGACCTAAAAGAAGTTAAACAGAAGGTATTTTCCACTTATTTTTATGCATGTTCTACCACAGCTGTGAATACAGCACCTGGGTAGCCCCAATCACACAGTATGAACAGCTCGGAGGTGATGTTTCTTCTCCCACTCGCTCTCTGGGGAAAGAGGCAGTGGAGCTGTGGCACCTTTCACTTTTGTAGGAGTGTGAAGAGGCTCAGAAGTTCACAGAATAGGTTACACCACTCAGCTGCCTCTTGCAAACCAAAACCAAGTGGAGAAAGCAGTGGGAAATGTTATTGGCTACACCTGAAGAAACAAAGGGTTCACTGTCAGCAGCAGGATGTTAGCAGGTTCACAACACTCTCTATATTTAAAATAAACACACAAAAAAAGACAGTGGAAGTAATGGAAACAGTGTGGGGAAATATTAGGCTATGTCACTCAAGCTCTTTGAAGAAAAAAAAAATAAGATAACCAATGTGTAAAGCTTCTGGGAGGCTCAAGGAGAATAGTAACTGGTGCCAATATGAGGGATTTCAGCTGAACAAGTGGATTTTGTTCATTTTTTATTTTTTTAATTTTTTTTTAACCTCACTATGGTTAAATGTCAGGAAATTACTCCAGAAAAGCCTAGGAGTTTACTGTGACAGAGTGAAGGTTTAGATGAAGATTCCCCACTAACACTCTCTCTGGGGCAAATTAAGCTGATGCTTCAGGTTGGAGGAGTGAATGATGAAAAGAATAGACCCCTCCCTCTACACTATAAATTCTTCCTAGCACACTGATTTCTCAGCCTTTCAGAGACACAGGCATCAAAGGGAACCATCTCTGCATATGCTCTAAGGCAGCTGTCTGGTCTCCTTCCATACTGGAAAGAGAAAGTATGGAAGTACCTCCAGAGCAGAGAGACCTGTCCCAATTAGCTATGACCCTCTGGAGTCACTAGAGCATCTACCTGGTTGGGTTAGAGTAGGAAGCTAACTTCAAAGGCCAAAAATTTGGCAAGATGAAGCCCTTTCCACCCTAACTTGTATTTTACTCCACCCAGCACAGAAAAGGCAGATGAAGTGTGGTGGAAGTTTGCTAGGATACGCCAGATGCTCCAGCTAATTCTGCGTCAAAGCAGACTGCTACATCGCTGCTACTGTATTCAATTGCTGTTGCCATATTTCATTTTCACTTGTGTCACTACAGACAACTGCTTATAAATTCAAAAAAGCTAACTCTGACGCTAAGCTGCCACATCAGACAGTGTGAAAACTGGTGGTCCACACTTCCACAGAATAGAGGAGGCAGTGTAACATAGCTTGGCTGAGTTACATCCAAAAATCCCTTTATTTTTAGATAAGCCAATGATACAGCCAAGTTTTGCTCCTCAGTACTTTGTTCCTGCAGACAACTGATTTTCAGATATCTCTACAAAGAACAGAAAGAAAAAATAATTAAAAATTTATATGTCAACTTCTGCCTGGACAGAGAAAGTGATAGTCTTAGAGACTCTTATTTTAAAATGAGTGAGGACCCTGACTGATCTGCTTCTGAAAGGTTATATCTATTTTTAAAGACAATGTCCAAATCCTTGGAACATGAGAAGTGCTCCAGCTGGGACTTCGAGAAGGCGTAAAGGAAGGTTTCTTACACAAGTTTGACTTTTTGCACATATCTACCTGAGATGTATGTCCTTTCACAATGATGAGGTGCAAGTACAAAACTAGGTTCAATTGTACAAGTTCTTAGCCCAAAAGGTATGGAGGGAGTCATATGCTTCATTAAGACAGCTAGCAAACGAAAACTTCTGTTTTTCCTCAAAACAAACAACCAATCACATCCTCTCAAGTAGGCTAACAGGAAGATAAAGCATTTAAAGGTCTGGAAAAGGACCTACATAACTTTCAGCAGCTTTGTTTGGTGAGGAGCTGGTGAAAGAAAACTTTTTATTGCAGGCCACTGCAGTTCCTATTTAAGTACATGTGGGTTCAGCCATTTACTTCTCCCTGATGATGTTAGGCTTGATAAAAGGATAAGTGAAAGTGGTAATATCCTGTTGTTCTCTTCTACGCTCTCTTACAAACCCATTCGGAAATTGCCAGTACCTCTGTTGACTGACTCATTCATCTTGCAGTCCTCTAACATGCAATTGGGCACTTTTAAAAAAAGGTTTGAATACTTTCTTTTTTTTTTCCCTTAAGTGCTCAAAGCACAACTCATCAACTTTTAGACAGGAAACTTCCTATTAAAATACTAATAAATGTTTTCCAAGAAAAACAAAAGGAAAAAAGGGCAGTTTTCTTACAAAAATTTATCACTATTGTAATCCAAACATATTTTATTCCTATTTTCTGTAGAAATAACACTCAGCTAAAGAGTCCTCCTGGTCCTCCAAAACACCAGGTCCTTAAGCCAAGCCTGTCACTCTGGGCTGGTTTCACATTGTTCACTCTCAGCCCTGACTCACTCAATTTGAAGTCAATTTTGATACAAGACATATAGAGTTTATGTACTGAGGTAACATCCAGTGCTGTCATTTTCCCATGTAACTAAATGTCAGCAAGAAATAGAATCTAAAATTGGTCTGTAACTATGGCAACTAATGAGCCATTCTAACTTGGAGTCCCCAAATCAAGCATGTGACCACCAAGGGATTCATTCCAGTTCTAAGATGCTGCTTTTAAGAGAAGAAAATATGCTGCTGCTTTTGCTAACATGTGTGTTAGAGGCATCAGCCTACAACCAGGCTAGAGAGCTGGAGCAGGAGGCTTCAACAACCAACCAGGAGAAAAACAGCTTCTTTCTTAAACTGGAAGAAAAAACAGTCAACATATTCTATTGAGGCTAATCACTCTGGATTACAGATAAGTCCCTGCAAAAACAACACAATATCAGATATGACAACAGTATTTGAAATCATAGCACTGAGGAACAAAGCATAAGCCTGTAATGAAAAGTAATGGGTGCCTTTAATTTCAGCTTCAATAGGCATTTGGGATAACACAACTCAAAAGACAAAAACATGTGTATAAGAATAAATGTGGGGCCAGCTCCATAATTCTGGTCAGGGGGAGGCCATTTCATCTCCCATGACCACATCTCCCTTCTCAGAAGCTATTCTGAAAGGGTTGTATCAGGAAACTCTCTTAAACATATGTTAAAAGATATGCCAGCAGCTAAAGTCCCCATCTCTTTAGCATGGTACAACGTATTTATTGCCCTTCATATCTGTGCCTGGAAACAACCAAGTAACTCTTTGTAGGGCCATGGTAGTAAAGTGAAATAAATTCCTCTAGAAGTAGCTGAGGTCTCTACCAGGAGAGCTTTGCAGATAAGGTGTTTCATGCACAGGATCCTTCAAAGCCAGAATAGTCAGATGGAAAGCCTGTTTCATATTTTGTGTATATGCTGTACTACTACTTTTTAAATGGGTAAACCCAGCGTTTCCCTTCTGACCCAAGAGCTCAAAATCTTGGTGCCAGCATGTGGTGAGAACAAACTGCAAGAAGCCACAATATGAATGGAATATACACTGAAGTTGTTTTCCCTGCAGCACTGCAACTAGAAATCATTTAGCTGCTTCAAACAAGAGCAATCTTGACCGCATTAAGTAACATCATTATTCAGGCTTTTTTTCAGACGGCAGAAGAGAGAAGGTAAAATAAACATGTAAATAAAGCAGTTATTAGTTTTCCAGCATAATTTGAAAATTGCATAGTTATTGTTATCAAATAAAGTTGAAGATAATATTATAATTAAATTAAGATTTAAAATAAAGGGTCAGTATTTCCTTGTACTACATTAAAAAGTTTATTTAAGTAGCATGTGTATGTTCTAGAAACACACTACAGTCCAGTTCAGAAGAGATGATGTAAGGTATTAGCTTTTTACAAAGAAACTGGAAGTTCTTACCAATTTTCTTTGCAGACTTAAAACCTAACAAAACAAAAAAATACCTCCACTAAATTATTTTGCTTACATGTGTAAACATCACCTGACACTGTTTTTGAATACTGACTTTCCTGGATAGGGAAGCAAAAAACCAGCATAAATTACAGGTTTTAGCTCTGGTAACCATAAATGTCTTGTAAAATGAGCTACATTTGAAATAGTGAAAAAATAATTATGATCCTTGAAAATTAGAACAATGAAACATTGTTATGCTATGGGGAAAAAAAAAGCTGTACAGAACAAAGGCCATCTCTGGTGCTATGTATGTCTGCTAAAGCAGCAAAGCCTTTGCATGACACTTTAGTATTAGGCATAATGATCATCAAGAGATTATATGATTTGATACCAGCATCACCTCCACAGAGGTTGCTTGGGTGATTTACTGGAGAAAGGAGAAGATATCTACACTAAGATTTTCTCTTTATTCAAATCCTCCTTTCCATGCTTCATTTTTAACAAAGAATTACAGACTTGTGTTCATGACTGAATCTGATGAGATCATATCCAGTTTAATTCCTTCCTTATAGAAGGAAATGATCAGCTGATTTAACCACAGTGTTTTCTATTCTTATGGAAAATATAGCTGTGGAAGCAAAGCTATAACTCAAGAGAAATAAGCAGAGAGACAGACAAAAGAAAAGCAAGGAAGAAAGGGGATTGCATTCTGCTCTCATGAGATGTTCACAAGGTCACCACCATCAACAAAGGGCTTGTAAAAAACATCCAGCATAACATCACAGGTGCATCAGGAAAAGCTGTCAGTAAGTGTTAATAACAGAAAGGTATTATGAGGATTATAAGAGATGGAGAGTTAAAGCTCTGGACATCTCACACTTTCTCAAATTAATTTTTACCTAATTAATTCTTCTCCATCAGATCTGGGCTAGCTTAGAAACAGCAGTAATGGAAATTAATATCTTAGGGCTCTACACAGAACATAAAATCTGTAAACCCTGTCCACCTACTACACAACATCATGTGTTCATTAGTTTACTGGTATTTAAAAAAAAAAAGAAAAAGAAAAAAAAGAAGAAAAAGAAAAAGAAAAGAAAGAAAACTTGCAAAGGCCCACACAAAGAGTAAACACCACACCGTTTCATGTCAGGTTGAGAAACAGTTATGGCAGTAAAGGGGAACAAAATAAATAAATAAACCAGCTTCAAGTAGAAGTACTGCTAAAGGTATAGGAAGATGGTTTCAACATAGCTAGTGCTTGTGTGGGTACAGCTACAGGGGCGACTGCAAGCAGTTTTCATCAAGAAACACTTCTCACCATTTCTTTTCCTTCCTTCGTCTTTTGTCACTTTTTGCGGTGCCATTACTTTCTGGAGGGAGCTCCGGCCGGAGCTGGGCTTTCCCGACCCGTTGCTGATGATGGAGCCGTTCTGACTCGGGGACGGGCTGCAAGTAACCATAGCAACAAGGGAGGCTGTGAGCTCTTCCTCATAAACCTCATTTCAAGGTTATTGCATTTGCACAGTTTGCATCACTGAGTTTTCAAGTCTGATTTTGTACCAAAAGGAGATAGAATATAAACAGCACACAGAAACACAGGACAGGCAGGAAGAGAGCGAGGGTAGGAGAACACAACTTCTCAATTAGCTTGGGGCTGATAGGCATCTTAGCGACATTTGAAAGCAAACACTTCTCATGCACAACCCCCACAATGACACAAGTGGCATTGCAGAGGACAAAAAAATCCTGTTATCAGTTGTGTCATTTATACAGCTAAAACAAAGCAGCCCTTTGTCTTTATATATATATATGGCTAAACTAATTCCTTTATTATTTAGCCTGCATTTACAATCAACTGTTTTGTCAGCCACAGTGCAAAATTCATTCACTTTACACATATGCACATGCAACATGGTAAGAAATTTCTCCTTTTTTTTTTCTTTTTTTGCACATAACCTGGTTTAAACAGCACCATTATCTGCTGAGAGTCCTAAGAAAATTCTCGATTTACTCAGCCATGGCATGTCCTTGCCCTGAAACTGGTCCCTGCACAGGGTGAGGAGGAAGGGCAGAGCAGAACCACTATGAGCATTCAGTCCAAACAAGGAGCAAGAGCAGAAACAAGCAGCATAACTTTGGGCTGCTTTGGGAGCAAGCTCTCAGCAGAAATTATCTTCTTTTTGGGGTGGGTAAATTGCTCAAATCCTAATGCATAAATTGGGAAAAGCAGACCAAAGTAGAAAATGTTAAACTTGGTGCTACTCCACATCCAGGCATGGTGTCACTTTGTTTCTACACATGAAATTTGCCACAGAGGGATGAAAACAATCCATAGGACCTGTATAGTTTCTCATGCACCTATCTACAATCTGTCACTGAATTGTCATTACAGGATAATGTCATTACAGGATAAAGAGGTTGCATCAGAGAAAAAATATGGACTTAGTCACAAGAACTTTCATTTACAGAGAAAAAAAATCAAATCAAGTTCTATTGGTGTCATAATGGCTTAATATCCAGAAAATGGTACTGAAGCAAAATGACTGTAAAAAACATCCTGCAAATTACTGCCAATACCATATTGCCAGCTTGAAACATTAATTTACCTCCAGTTCTGACTGCCCTGTCTGGCGTAAGCAGAGAACATTTACTGTGGACAGAATAGGAAGGGACAAGTATGAGAAAACTAATTCTTAGGGACTCTCTTCTCAAGATAGCCTAGGTGGAAATATATCTAATTTGAGACAGGCTCTTTCCAGCTACAGGGCTTTAGGAGAACTCAGCATGCAGCCCAGCTCAGCCTGAGGATTTTCTTGTGAAATTCTACCGAGAACAAGTATTCTTGAAAAGTAGCATTTCCCCCCTATAAATCTGTATGACACTGCTAATGAATCATCTCAGCCCAGTAAAAAAAATAATCCAGGGACAGACCAACACCTAAAAAAAAATCTGCTCCACTTGGGAACAAGGAAGAGACATGAGCATGGATAGGTGGCACAATGGTTTCTGCTGCTGCTAATATAAATATTCATCCTTTTTAACTGGCCATCACATTTCCTTCAGTGGTAATATCAGAGAAGATATTCTGATCAGTTACCAGCCACTTCATGGCAGTCTGATTTAAATTGACCTTTCCAGGCTGCAAAGTAGCCTAGAAGAAAAAGCAAATACATAAAGGTCAAGAAATATTTCTTCATCTTCAGAAACCATTGAATTCCATCCCCAGACACAGCTTCTGGGAATGAAAAATTACTAAAATTCTCCATGTTATCACTTACTCCAGTAATCACCCTGAAGGAAGCAAAACTAACTCAGTTATTTGCTTAGAAATGCACCAAGGTTCAACACATTTTATAATAATAACTTTCCTGTGAATTCCTGGATCAATTTGCTTATCAGCGTTTGTTTAAAATTGTGCAGATTAAGTAGAGGGAGATTTCTGTGCTCAAAGGACTGAGCGAAGTACTTATTCAGGTTTTTTAGAAGATTAATTAATAGGGCTGGTTTACATTTTTTGTGTGTATTTGCACATGGCTTTGGAGAGGCTTCAAAACATTTTGAAGAACAGTTCCTGCAAAGACTTAACCTGTCAGGGTCCAGCATCAGAAACCACAGCTGGTGTCACGGTCATCTTCCATTCCTCATTTCATTAGAGGACAGAAGATTTCAAAAGAGACAAGTGCTGTTTGGTTCACACAGACTATATAACCTGATTCTCATGGTGCACGTCATTTATGGTGTGAACAAGACACGGCTGACACTAAAGGGCAGAATGACAGTTTACACCCAAACCCAGCAAAGCAATCACAGGAACTGGAGGAGTTCTCATCTGGCTTACTCTTCTCTATTGGTACTCCTTGCAGACAGCTCTCTCCATATTCTAGGTGATTTACTATACAACCAGGGAAGTCTGTCAAGCCAGATACCAGCTCAAGACCCTTCTGTTTCCATTTTTCTGCAGGGAAAACCTCAGCTTATGATCAATGGGGAAGTCTACCCTCTACGAAAAGCAGTAGCACCAGGTCCTCCAGCCCCATGCCACGCTGACTGACACCTTCCAGCATGGCACCTCCCATGACTGCAGACGTCTCCAGTGTCCTATCACTGCGTACACCAATATCATGCCAAGTTCTCCAAGCTTTTTCATTACTCCAAAGGGGTAAATATCATTGTGCATTGACAAGTACAAGGTGAGGTGACTCAACTAGGAAGATTTGATTTTCTATAGAATTTCTCTGCATGAGCCAGATACTCTTCTATGTTATCAAGTCCCTTCAAGAGATAAGGGCTGTGTATAAGGCCAGTGAACTAAACTGTTTCCTCTATTCAGCTGTTTACATAACAGTTTTATTTTCCTCTGTTCCCTTCAATATCATTCTTCAGCAATAAAAAGTTGATGTCCTCCACTCTAAGTTAATGTTAGAGAGAGTGGGTCAAGGAAAAATGAAGCATGCAAAACAGCTACTGTGAAGGGATAATCTGCTTTTCTTTGCCCGAGATGAGCAAGACAAGAAATAATGACCTTCAGATATCAAGTAAAACTTCCTAACGGGAAAGATAATGAAGAAAACATTGCTTGAGGAGGCTGTGATAATCCCACCACTGGAAGACTTTTAAAAAAAAAAAAAGATAGATGAAGATGAGTTAGGGGTGTATTTGACTCTGCAGTGGAGAAGAGGAAGAGCCAAATAACTTCCCAGTGACCTTCTAACTTGTGATCCTACAACCCTGTAGACTTAGTATGAAAAAACAGCAAACCTGGGACACTTTACCCTAGACACTGACATTATCTAGTCTGTCCTTACACCTTCAAAAGTTTTGTACTGCTGTAGATGCTTTGGATCTAGAGGTCTTCCATAATTTAGTGGATGTTCAGGGTTTGGCCTTCTGCTAATTAAGACATCAAGTCCAATTCAGGAGTGACAAAATCTATTGGTGGAGCTACAGCAACTTACAGTGGCTGAGGTCCTGTCTTTTGTTTCATTTGATAGATGATCGATTTTCATGCTCCAGATCCCATGTTTCATTTGGATTCATCTCCTGTACAACACCAGCATGCATATGAGAGCCATTTCCCATTTACCTCTTCTATGCATGTACAATCTGTGAAGACTTCACTTTATTTTATCTTGTATTTTGCAGTAATCTTGCACATCCAGTGCAGGTCAGCGTTATGCCAAGAATATATCATGGAGGAACCATCTGCCACATACAGAGCCTGGGTGCCAAACCTCACAGTTTTTTCCTAAGCAACCAGCAGCAGGTACCTCATTCCACCCCTCTGCAGATACATGGCAGTCCGTACCTTTTCCTTGTTTCATTGGATTTGGCAGTTTTGATGGTGCTCCCATCCTGCGTAATTTCTCTCTCCTGGGTGGTAGGAGCATCTCTAACTGGAAGTGGAAGTACGACAGTCTCCTGAGTTACAGGTAAAACCTCATCTTCAGCTCCCTGCTGACCTAAGTGTTGCTTGGCATAGTCAAAGCCTTGTACTGGCTGCAAAAAACAGTGGGAGAAAAAAAGGAATTTCCAGTATGAATCATAGGTTAATATAAAATTTCCACTTCAATATGAAATTTTCTACTACCCCTTAACTTTTTTAAATTGTGTAAACTGCAGGTAAAAATGTGTAGATTGCAATGTGAATGCCTAACAACACAGAAATTTTCTGATAAGATCTCCATTCCACATATTTTATAGATGATTAGTTAGGATGAAACTGATCTTGGCTAACCTTTCTTACCCTGCCCTAACGCCCCCAGAAATTCCTTGTAACAGACAATGGAAAAATGAATATATGGAAGAAAAAAATGGGAGGGAGAAAAATAAGCCCATACAGAAAACAGAAAACTTTATGAAAAAAATGTTGTGTTTCCAAAGGAGGTGGGAGTAATTTATTCTGAATCAAGACAAAGTAAAAAAGGCACACATAAAAGTTTCATGGGCAACATTTTCCAGAAAAATATCTTTTTCAGATCATTGAAATTATAGATCCCCTGGTTTGCCAGTTGTCTACTGGGAAGGTTGTTATTGACTTCAATTGTTTCTCTCAGGAAGCAGCATCCACAAAAGCCTTGCAGCGAGGCAGCCAAGGGCCGTGTGCTCAGCCTCTCCTGCCCCAAAGCCCAGCTGGGCTTTCCCTGCTGCCTCTGCAAGGAACAAGCAGTACTGACACCTCCCTTCTAGGCAAAGCAGCCACCAAAAGGTGGATTCTCTTAATGGAAAAATTACAGCATTTAAACAAAACTTAACTTTCCAAACTGCATAGAAAGAAAGGAAAGAAAGAAAGGAAGGAAAGAAAGGAAGGAAAGGAAGGAAGGAAAGGAAGGAAGGAAAGGAAGGAAGGAAAGGAAGGAAGGAAAGGAAAGAAAGGAAGGAAAGGAAAGAAAGGAAGAAAGGAAGAAAGGAAGAAAGGAAGAAAGGAAGAAAGGAAGAAAGAAAGAAAGAAAGAAAGAAAGAAAGAAAGAAAGAAAGAAAGAAAGAAAGAAAGAAAGAAAGAAAGAAAGAAAGAAAGAAAGAAAGAAAGAAAGAAAGAAAGAAAGAAAGAAAGAAAGAAAGAAAGAAAGAAAGAAAGAAAGAAAGAAAGAAAGAAAGAAAGAAAGAAAGAAAGAAAGAAAGAAAGAAAGAAAGAAAGAAAGAAAGAAAGAAAGAAAGAAAGAAAGAAAGAAGGGAACAACAACAACAAAGAAATCAAACAGCCAACCAACCTGCATTTTCCATTGGAAAAATAAAATAATAAATGACTCAAACTCCTCACCACCTCTGGGAAAAACATGTAATGTATAAAAATGTTCTTGCTACACTAAATTGAATTAATTTACCAAAAACTGGAAGGATGCTTTTCTTGAAGTACAAAGACTATTGACAGAATGCTAAAAAAAGAACCATTTAGCTTCAAAAGTGAGCAATGGAAATTTTAACCCTCAAACTTACTTTGTGAAACACATCACAATGAAACAGTTAATACCGGAATAGTCTCTCTCAGGCTCCTGTCATGTTGTCATTGAATATTTTAGTTCCAGAAGAATACCAGCAAGCTTGAAAAAAAAAATGCTGATGACACAGAAAAAGGATGAGCTCTGAAAAAAACCCATTTTATCTTGTTCTGCCCCTTACTAAATCTGGGCTATAGCTAAAAATACTGATAAATTTCACAGGTGATCTCAGTCTGAAAATAATGGGGCTGTCTTCTATTTTTTAAAACAGAAGAAAACATGGTTTCTGTTTATGGGGATCTGTACTGCATTCAGAATCTCCTGTTTGAACTGAGGCTGATGATTTCTAATGTGGTCACATACTTCAGTATTCCTCTGACAAGTAGCTCCAGTGCACTAAGTGCTCCCAGTGCTAACTGGGCTAATGCTGATTTGGGAGAGCAGACATCTCCACATATTGCCACAATGGAACTTGCAACACATCTGTCCTGTTTTGCTGGAATAGAATTATAGAATCAAGTTTTTATTTGGGAAATCTGCATTTTTGAGAAGACTACAGCACTCGAGTCAATGGAAATAAAGTTAATAAGACACTTTGTTTTAGTTTGTGGCCATCCCTGGTATGCAGTGGTCAAGGTCTTTAGCAGTTACAGTTAGCCAGGTGCAGAAGCTATGAGGGGTGAAAGCCAGGGCAGCTGACCGAAGCTGGCCAACAAAATTATTCCATACCATGGAACATACCACAGACACTGAAAATTGGAAAGTTTTTCTGGGGACAGCTCTCTTTCCTCGACGGTCGCCATCCACAGAGAATTTCACCCATCATTCTGCTCCTGACGCCTACTCCCCTGCTTCTTGTGACCATCATGTTTTTGCTGGAGCTGTTGTGCTCACAGTGTTTGCTGTATTGTATAACTCCTACAGGGAGTGCACAGCCTATGACTACTACATGAGCTGAGAATAACTTAGTGTTTTATTATTGTTCCAATTATTATTACAATTTTTTACTAAGAGTAGTAGTTGAGTTTATTTCAATCATTAAACTGTTTTTGTCTCAACTCATGAGTGTTCTGACCTTTCTCCTCCGATTCTTTCCCCCACCCCACCACAGAGCAGGGGAGTGAGCAAGTGGCTGTGTGGCGTTTAGCTGCCTGCAAGGTTAAACCACAACAGCATCAGAAAATGCCAATTCCCCATCACCATCCAATGGCAAGCCACAACAGTATTGCCCCTGACAGAGCCTTCTGCCTGCCCTCCTCTGAAGGCAGGGTACCACAAAAGCAGCCACCAAATTAGCTACAAAGGGAGGAAACTGAAAAAGAGGAGGGAAGGAAGGGGAAGCAGAAGCTGTGTGAAGGACATCTAGAAAGAACTACTGCACACCATGCTAGACAGCAATATTATTAGCCAAAATGATGTTTCGCAACCTTGTTATCTATATTAACTGTTAGTCAACACTGTCCCACTTATTCTGCAAAAAGGATAACAAAAGAGAAAGCCTGATTAAATCAGGTATTTCTTCCTCCATATCTTGGAAAGAGTAGAAATTGTTACAACTTATACTTCTTATATTTACAAAAAAAAAAAAGACAAAAACATCCTCACAAAACTTGAACAAAAAACCCCCCAAGCCAGAAGAAGTAGAACATGAGAATTACTAAGGAACTCTGCAGAGTCCCAGCTCGGATCTGTCAAAGGAAGCAAATGGATTATTTTAATCTGAGTTCTACTTACCACCATGTCTAGCAACAAACTGCATTACAGGAAGAGCTGAAAAAGCCATCCTCATCAGCAGACATATTGCGTTAAATAAAATTTGATCTTGGAACCCTGCTCTGTAAAAGCCCACAGGAGCAGATGGCTTTACCACCCCTGAAGGGAACTGGCAAGGCTAAATCACTATCAGGCACTGCTGAAGCACTGCATGCATAGATGTCCAATACAGCCACAATATTGAGAAAGACTGAAGGACTAGGATTTGAATATTGCTTTTGAAATAATAAATGAATTATGAGACAATTAAATTACAGTGTCTGGCAAAGTGCAGACTGAACATAGAAAGTTGTTTCTGGGACTTTTCTCCTTGTAATGATAATAAAAAAGACTGATATTTAAAATGAAGTCATAAAATAAAAAAAATAAATTTAAAAATAAAAATAAAAATTAAAAAATAAAATTAAAA